CGGACATAAATGCTGCTGTACAGTTAAACTAAATCCATTTTGGCTGTTGCGAATAAAATAAAGTGTGAAGTGTGTTGACGACAGCATTAAATTTAGATCTGCTCCATGTTGCACCATGATTCTTTTTTTTACAGTGTAGCGCTCACCGACTGAATTCAGCTCTCACGCAAATTCTCTCATCATAAACAACAAAGTGCAGATGTACGTATGATGTAAATAAGAGATTCATTCATCAAACTGTGCATAGACAGCTTTACTGATTATAAGGAGTTTTTTTGAGTGCTTAAACTCGCACTAGACTGAAGTTAGTCAATGTTCTTTTGACAATGTAAATGTTCTTTGCTTGCTTTCTCTGTATAATTTATTCGCTGTTTCAATAACTGTGGAAGGAACAGGTAATAAAAAAATGTATTCATAACCTCATCCGTGAACATCCTCCTTCATAGCATCATTAAAGGGTTAGTTCAACCAAAAATGAAAATTCGGTTATTAATTTCTGACCCTCATTGTCATTAGTTTGCCAAAAAGAACACAGAACGGTTTACGCACGATTTGCACGTGGTAAGGAGCAGGTGTACATTTCTTTCCTACCAACTAACATTTTGAAAACACGGAACACTTTCATGAATCCGAAAATGTACGTGAGAACAGCTTTACGAACGATTTACACAAATTTGTTCTGCTCGTGTTTCATGAATGAGGCCCATTAATCTTAAAATATAGTCTACACTACTTTCCAAGATCATGTGACTGGAGTAATGGCTGCTGAAAATGTAGTCCTGTTTGCATGGATGAGGATGTAGAAACAGTACAGAAGTAACACAACATGTGAAGTTTGGTCTTGTGCGACTTGTTTTCTGAATCTCTCTTATTTCATCAACAGCCGTACTACCCTAACCGGCCCAACATGCAAGGCAGTGCCCCTCGGGTCCCACCCAGCAGCACCCCCCGGTCTGTTGCACCCACTCATGTCTACCAACCTACCTCACAGGTTATGATGATTCCCCAGCAACAGTTGCAATTCGCCAACACTCAGGGCCATGCCATTTTCCTACACGGACAGGTAGCACATTGTTCTTTTAATAGATAAGTTGTGCATTTTTTGTGAGGCTGTTCGTGCATCTAATGACTTTTTGTTTTCTATTGTAGTACCGCACCCCCTACATGCAGCCAACGCAGCAGTACTCTGCAGGCTTTTACCCTGGAAGCAGTCCAGCTGAATACGGTACATATGGTAAGAGGCTCTGCTCTGGGCCTCCCCTGTTTGTTTGAATCACCCAACCCTGTTTTTTCTTACTTGTATATCTTGCTCTTTTCACTCAAAAGTGGTCTTACTCCAGTCTGTAGAACACATCGGATACCTGATAAATCTTTAAAGGCACAATATGTAAGATTTTCATCATAAAATATCCAAAACCGACTTGCACAGTGTGATATATTTCATGCAGTTGTGTACTTGTGTTATCCCAAAAGTTCCCAAGGATTTGTAAATCCAAAGAAATTATAATTTTAAATAATGGCTCGTTCCTGGTCATTGTCACCTATCAATGACATATCCACACTACCCTTAGTTTCCGCTTATAGAAACTATGGCAACACACGGACATAAATGCTGCTGTACAGTTAAACTAAATCCATTTTGGCTGTTGCGAATAAAATGAAAATGAAAGTGTGTTGACGACAGCATTAAATTTAGATCTGCTCCATGTTGCACCATGATTCTTTTTACGCATTTTTACAGTGTTACGCATTAGAACTAATCACACACGAGTCTGTTGAGCTTATGAATGCAATGGCCAATCAGAGGCGTTCAGATTAGTTTTTTTTTGTTTCGGTGCGCGTGCTTGCTGACTGAATTCAGCTCTCACGCAAATTCTCTCATCATAAACAACAAAGTGCAGATGTACGTATGATGTAAATAAGAGATTCATTCATCAAACTGTGCATAGACAGCTTTACTGATTATAAGGAGTTTTTTTGAGTGCTTAAACTCGCACTAGACTGAAGTTAGTCAATGTTCTTTTGACAATGTAAATGTTCTTTGCTTGCTTTCTCTGTATAATTTATTCGCTGTTTCAATAACTGTGGAAGGAACAGGTAATAAAAAAATGTATTCATAACCTCATCCGTGAACATCCTCCTTCATAGCATCATTAAAGGGTTAGTTCAACCAAAAATGAAAATTCGGTTATTAATTACTCACCCTCATGTCGTTCCAAACCCGTAGGACTTCTGTTCATCTTCGGAACACAAATTAAGATATTTTTGATGCATTCTGAGAACTCTCTGACCCTCCCATAGACAGCAAGGGTCCTTGCACAATCAACGTCCAGAAACGTAGCAACGAGATCGGTAAAATAATCCATGTGACATCAGGGGTTCAACCGTAATTTTACGAAGCTACGAGAATACTTCTTGTGCACAAAAAAACCCAAAACACTTTATACAATAATTCGTCACCCTATAGCGCCATTTTGGAGAGTATCCACTGAACGCAAACAGCGTATGCTGTTCTGTGTGGGCTGCGCCGCGCGGCTGACACAGAACAACATACGCTGTTTGCGTTCAGTGGATACTCTCCAAAATGGCGCTAGGGTGACGCGGAGGAGGCAAATTGTTGAATAAAGTCGTTTTTTTCCCGCACAAAAAGTATTCTTGTAGCTTCGTAAAATTACGGTTGAACCCCTGATGTCACATGGATTATTTTACCGATCTCCTTGCTATGTTTCTGGACGTTGATCGTGTAAGGACCCTTGCTGTCTATGGGAGGGTCAGAGAGCTCTCAGATTCCATCAAAAATATCTTAATTTGTGTTCCGAAGATGAACGGAGGTCTTACGGATTTGGAACGAAATGAGGGTAAGTAATTAATGACAGAATTTTCATTTTTGGGTGAACTAACCCTTTAAGCTTCGGCTTTATTGTTTTGAAAATGCGACCTCTAGCAGTTAAAACTTACATATTGTGCCTTTAACCTGTTAACCTGCACCCCCCATTTTGGGACTCGCAGCTGAAAATGACCTACCTAACTTAAAATTGTAACAGTTCCTGACAACAGTGTGCTACACACAATTTTTGGTGTCTTTGGAAAGACCCTTTGGGCTTTACTATTCATCATCCAGAGTTGATAATGCTCAAAAAGATAAAGTTATAGACACTGAAGTGCCTTGAAAAAAATTGTACCATACTGAATTTTTTTTATTTCACATACAAATACTTGAAATCAGTCCTGGAGCAATCCAGAAAAGTAATGGGTTGAAAGTCACATGTCTTATGAGTTTATATTTCAAATCTGAAGATACCACGAAAAATGAGATTCCTGCAACCATATTTTAGTCATCATACATACCACTGCATAGTTTTTTAATTATAAAACAATAGACAGAATCTTAGACATTGTATAAGTGATTTATTTGAGCACTAGAAAAATACAATAAGAATAATTTGAGTAATAAAAAAAAAAAATAATAATTGGCTTTGTATGTCAAGTACATTGCCAGACATACAGCATTCACACTGATTGCTGGTCATACAGTCAGTAATCACATGCTGATGTGCGGTCATACAGATGGTAATCATGCAGATACAGCCACATTCCCCACAAAACACACACGTATGAAAAATGTTGAATAGAAAAAAAAATAAAAAGAATTGTTTGTGCAAAAAGCTGATCGCTATCAGATGACAGGTGCTTCACAGCGTGCATCATGAGCCGTCACAAGAGAGCGCCAGAATTCAAATAAACAAGATTCTGCGTATCTTTGACTTTTTTTAGTGGATGGTCTCATTCGGTTTGTGACACTGTATGCTACAAAACCATGTTGCTTTTTACTACCAAGACGCAGTTTTTTGAGCACAAGTTATTCCATAACTGATACAAACAATAACTCTCCCCGAAGAAATGAGACGTAAACAAAGGAATATCCATCCATATTACAACGTTATTGTTTCGTTGGACTAAAAGTGCTCTATGGGATATTGTTCAGTTGACCCTTACCTTTCTAACTAAACCGGGATTTACAGCAGTGGATGCGTTTGTGACTCGTTATTACGATGAATCTGGTACGTACTGCATTTTTATGCATGTTTTGATGTGTACTGCTTACACAAATTTAGCAAATACATTCCTTATAAGCTTTCCATTGAAAATCAGTGATCTGTCGTTGATGCTTGAGGCTTAGACCTTTAGAATGATATATAGTTTGTCAATATTAATTTTGTCCCTTTTCATTTAATCTATTCGTAAACATTGACACGTGCAAACAAAGAGTGTTCAGTGCGCTGGCGTCTAGGTGCGGGTTAACAGGTTAAATGTTCATGAAACATTTTTGTAGAACTGTTGCTGGTGGTGCCAAATTACACTTAATACAAATTGCATGACTCTATAAGTGCCTTTTTCATAATGTACCAGTATTTTGTTTTTCTTTTCTTTTTTTCAGTAAAGAGAACGAGGGTAATGTGCTTAATGTGCAGTTGCATTAGCAAAATAATTTTGGTCCTTTGTCAATAGTGTGTGAATACTCCCATTACAAAGAAGTTACTTTCAAACCCAACTGCTTCCTGTTTGAACTTGAACCTATTGTGAAATCTATTGCCCTCACATGAAATTCCAGATCACATTAATTACTCCAGAAAGACTGCATTACCACAAATATTTGCTGAACAACAGTGACTGGTGTGTGAATGTTTATTCTATTCTTTTTTCTTTTTTTTTCCCCTTTTGGAATATGAAATTCACCCGTGTATGTTTTCAATAGATTTTGTAACTTCACCTTAGACTTATGACTGTTAGATCAGTCATATACATTAAATAATATCCCTGTCATAACTAACCACTAAATGCCAAGTTCTACCCTTCATGTCTGCTCATATTATTGGCTCACTAACTGTGTTCAGCACTCATATCTGCTTTTTTGTTTCCTCTTACTCACTCTCGACCTTTGTCTCTTTCTCGGTCTCTTCTTGCTTTCCTCTCTCCCCTTCTCCTTTGGCTGAGTTCAGATCCCTCTCTGGCAGGGAGGGAGAGGCAGGGGGGTGGGGGAAGAGGTGCAGGTAGAGAGAACGGACGTCTCTCGCTGCACGGAGCTCCTCTCACCTCCCAGCGCTATCCTGGTGAGTCTGAAGTGCAGGGCTGTTTCTGTTACACCTCTTGTCTTTGTCTTAGCCTGGCTGGTTGTGTTTGAACAAGGCAGGAAGCATGTAACCTTTGATGTAATGCTACTTCAACCTTTGACTCCGTGTCCTAGACAAAAAAAACAACTGCAAACATTCTGGGATCGATCTGTGATTATCATGAAGTGATTTATCACAAGAATGATATGAAGTGTTGTTCTTCCCAGCGCACCAGAAAGTGTTTTTGGCGGGAGGGGGAATACTTTTCATGTGTCCCCCTCCCATTAAAGCTGACCGTCTCTTTTTGGTATCTAATCTTGTCTCTTTTTTTTGTTGTTGTCTAGCGGCTGCCTATTATCCTGCAACACAGCAGTACCCAACCTCAGTGTCCGCCACGTCTGTCATGATGCCCGCTCAACAGCAACCAGCTCCACCTCCACAGCAAGCTCCACCTCTGCAGTCAGGACCAGTCAAACCGAGAGAGCGCAAACAGGTGGGTGGGAACAACATTTGGTGTGTTTTCATTTTTGATCCATTTGTCTGTGACTTACCAGCTGTTTCACTACAGATCAGAATACGTGACCCCAACCAGGGTGGACGTGACATCACAGAAGAGATCATGTCTGGTGGGAGAGCGACCTCCACACCCACTCCTCCACAGGTTTGTTGATGGCTTCATGTGTTTATAATGACATGAGCATGGCAAAAATCACATGCTGCTTTTAAAGGATTGTTGTTCTTACTCAGACTGCTGGTCCAGAGGTGGGAGGTCCTGTCCAGACCAATGGTGAAAGTGTTCCACCTGTTGCTGCTGTGATCAGAGCTGGTGAGTGGGCTTTCTTGCAAATACCCAAACAGGTTTTTGACGTTAAAGTTTGGGTTCCCACCATCCTGAAAAATGTGGAAGTAATGAGGGAGTTTCAAAAGTGATTTCAATGGCTCAAAATGTCAATGGAATAAAAACTTTGGCACCAGAAGTTTTAAAGCTATCTAAATACAATGTCAACCCGAAGCAATGTTAGTAAGAAGTACATTTTATTTGGAGCAGTACTTGATTTTTATACACTGGAAGTTTATTTCATTATGAAAAGTGAAGTTTTTCTCAAGGAGAAAATGACAGACTTTGGTTTTATCTGATTTTGACACTTTTTGTTGAAGAATCAAAAACACCTCAAAGGCCATCTTTTTGTGCTTCCTTTTTTGTCACAGTAAGCTTGACTGAAATTCAGCACCTTCACTTTTAATATGTTGTGTATTTTTTATATTATTATTTATAAAGTGCCTGTCTCAAGATGGAGTATTCTGTTGTATACGTTTGCCTGCAAATTCAGAGAAAAGTCACGTCAAGCATAACTGACTGTTGTTTTGATCAATAAGTGGTGTCACTTCAGTGTCCTCATTCACATTCCTATGAGTAATATGTATATGTAGTGTTATATTTTAATTCTTAATGTTTAAAACAACTCAAACATCATTTTGTGAAACATGTTAAGTTGGAGGTTATGTTAACTTTTTAAGAGGTTATTTATGCTGATTTCTAGAGACATTCCTATCAGGAATTAAAATTTGGAAGTTTTGTCTTTAGAACAATCTTAAGAAAAGAGCTCGTCAAAACGTTTTTGTTTTTAGGATTAAAAAAAAAACATTCTTTAGAAAATTAGAAGGAAAATAGCTAATAGCAAAGAAGAATTTCATTCTAAAGAATGCTTTGTGAATCCAGCCCAGTTTGAAAGTTAAAACAGCAGTTTTTTTTTGTTGTTGTTTTTTTCTTGCGCTTATTTTGTGTACTGGTTTTCCTGCCCTTAATCCTCAGATGATCAAGTGAAGTCCATGTCTCCTCCTCCAGCTGTGTCCACCCCTCCTCCATCAAAGACATCAGAGCAAGCCCCAGTTGCATCTTCAGCAGCTGATTCTAAACCTGTGCCAGAGATCAGACCTGCTTCACCTGTGAGCAAGATTCCCATTCCTCCAGAAGAAGACCCAGCGATATCCCCAGCGCTCACACCTTCTCCTCCTCCAGCAAGCAATCCCCAACTTTCAAAGCCTCAAACTGGTGACAGTGTGGATGCTCCAGTACTCCCTGATGCCCCAGTTCAAAAGAAGGAGCCTGAGGATGCCCCTCAAGTGGAGCCAACTTCTACTGGGGTTGAGAAAGAGGAGTCAGAGGTAGCCAAAGAGAAAGAGCCTGAACCTGTGGCCGAAACGGAGGCTGCATCTGATGTATCTAGCCCGATTGCTATCATCTCCACCCCTGTGGAGCCTCCTCCTGCTGTAGTTAATGATGGTGACATTGCTTCTGAGGACACCGCCCCTCTATCCACGGAGACACCCATTCTGGAGCCAGTCGTTGATGAGCCAAAGGAACAGCCTTTGCTTAACGGTTTGCCTGAGGACTCTGCAGAGGCTCCAGTAGTGAAGCCAGAGAGCTCCACTAATCCAGTTGCTGAACAAGTGGTTCCTCAAGTCCAACAGAGCTGCCTTATGGCTGCAGAAGCACCTGTAGAGGAAGCAGAGAAGGAGAAAGCAGAGGAGACGCCTGCCCCTGTAACAGTCTGCCCTGTTGAGGAAATGACTATGCAAGGTGAGGAAATAAGTTCTTGTGGAACAATTACCATATTGTTGTTGTTTTTTTTCTTCTTCAGGATGAAGTTTGACTTTGGTTTCTCTCTTTCTAGCTGCCGTGACAACAGTGCCAAAGAAGAAAAAGAAGATCAAGGATCTGAATAAGAAAGATGTCGGAGATGTCCTAGATGCCTTCAAAGAGGTTTGTATAATATGACATGTCTTGGCTTTATTACAGTAGGACTTCTGTGACTGTTGTGCAGAGTACAGTTGTGCATTTATAAATCTTCTGTATCCGTTTCAGCCTGAGGAGGAAAAGCCTGCTCCTGAGCCAGAGGTTGCTCAGAAAGAGCCTTCCCCTGCTCCAACCCCTGCCCCACCAGCTGAAGAGTTGGACGAAACATGGGAGGACAAAGAGGACAAGCTTGATCCAGAAAATATTGAGCCTGAGGCGTCTAAACCTGTGGAACAGAAGTATCAATATAAAGAAGGTTAGAAGTCAGATTATTTGGGTCTCATTTGATAATGTTCATCCTGTTTTATATATTAGAGCAATATATCAGAGTGCTTTTATTTAAAGAGCAATTTACTGTCAATAGACTATCGTTTAAAAGTTTTCAGTCAGTAAGATTACATTTAAATGTTTTTGAATAATCTCTTATTCTCACCAAGGCCGCATTTATTTTTATAAAAACAAAACAGTAAATCTGTAATATTGTGAAATAATATTAATATACTATTTTTATACATTTTAAAATATAAATTATACCTGTGATGGCAAAGCTGAATTTTCAACTGCCGTTAATTTGCCTGTCGCATGATCTTTCAGAACTTATTCTGAAAGTTCAGTGTTGAAAACAGTGGTCTCACTTTCCACAGACTTTTAAATATACATATTTACATGAAAGCATTTTACATGTTTTGATAAAATATTTTTTGGAGTTGTATACATTATTTAAAAAAAAATTACTTTCATCGCATTTTTGTGTGTTTAGCAGTGAATAAAATAAAAAAAATTTAATTGATAACATTTGATGGGAATGCAAAAAAAAAAAACTTGGAAAGCTATTACATAATGTATCAAGACTTTATTGATTTTTAGTTTGTCTTGAGCAAGGCAAATTCACCGTGTCTTATTCTAAATGTTTGTGGGCCTATTTAGCAACTTTTTTTTTTCCTCTTCACTCATTTGCAGAGCAATGGAAGCCCATCAACCCAGAGGAGAAGAAACAATATGATCGAGAATTCCTGCTTGGCTTCCAGTTCATTGGTGCAAGCATGCACAAGCCAGAGGGTTTGCCGCAATGGTGTTTGTCAGGAATATGTTTTATTGATGTCCTTTCTGCAGATTAATTTAATTTTTAGTGAACTATCCACTTGTTGTGGATCCATGTTGTTTCTAGGGGTGGCTAGATACCACTTTTTCAGAACCGATCCCGATCCGATACTAGAAATTCTGAGTATTGGCCGATACCGATATTGATCCGATACCAGTGCAGTTTTTTTTTAATCAGTGTAGAATTTCTATACTTCAATGTGTGTTGAACTGATCATCACTTTTTTGTGTGTTACACACAATCTACTAAATATAGACAACTTTATTATAAAGAAAAGATAACAAAGGAAAAAACATATATAATCATAATCTATGACAAAAATACTGTCATAAACTAGGTTGGTGGATAATTCAGTAGCAAAAGTTGCTCTAGAAAAATCATGAGTGCACAGTAATTTTATAAAATCTAAACTTTTAGTAAAAAAAAACAAAACATTATTTAGTGGGGAACAAATAAAAGTGAGTAAGTGTTGGACTTATTCTGGCCAAATGTTACACATTGCTCTTTGTATGGTTGTAAAATACATTCATGAAAAAAGTAATATATTTATATATAAATATATAGGGTCTACTATATAATTAAAAGGCATTTCTTTTAAATGTATAGCACAGTAATGAGGCAGCAACATATGATATATAAGACAAACAAGAAAGGCTATTAATAATCTGTCATTTTTCGCTTATGCGCATCCCGTGCGCAGAATGATGCGCTTGAAGCAACACTGAGTCACAGTGCGCAGCATAGAAAAGGTCAAACCACAGAGGAAAGAGACATTGATGCATAGTGTATTAAATCTGTGCGATGGTTTGAGCCTTTTCTTTTAACAGTTTTAAATCTCAGTTACTGTGCTCATGAAGAACAATTCATAGTGCTCTCTACTCCAGTGTTGTGGTAGAAATGAACACGATTTAGAAACTAAACGAAACTCCAGCAAGATAAAGTCCTTTTATGCGAAACAAGATATCTACCTGATAAACCAGATAAAACCAAATATCAGATCGGCGCACCCCTAGAAGTTTTAAATGCATAAGACTTTAGTTCATCTTCGAAACATACAAATGACAAAAAACATAAAGATTTGGCGCTCGAGTGAAAGTCCTTTTTTACCAAAAATGTGTTGCTTCACAAGTTAATTAAAACATTGTTAAAAAAAAATCCATATGAATCAAGCTGTCTATTCCTAGTCTTCTGAAGAGACTCGACCTATTTATGATGAACTGATTTAAATGTAGCCTTTTATTCACATAAATATCGATCAACGCACATACATATAGAGCTCATAAAATACGGTCTATAAGAGGCTTCAACATCCTTGTTAGATGCGTGTAAAAAAACAAAACAAAAAAAACCTTGTTGGTTCTGGCACAACAAACCTGCACATTTAAGCTTTTGTGCTTACCACATTGAGTAATTAATGACAGGATTACTTGGCTGTTTACCTCATTTTTTTAAGAAATGTAAATGGGGAATTATTGAAATATTGTTACTGTTTTGCTTTTCCAGCTTAAAGTCCCCACTTCAGACAAACCGGGAGTCACTGTGAATTTCCGTAAACTACTACTCAATCGTTGTCAGAAGGAGTTTGAAAAGGACCAGGATGATGACGAGATCTTTGAGCAGAAACAGAAAGAGCTGGATGCTGCTGCTGAGGTGACGTCTTGCCACATTTGTAAACAATCAACTTGGTACAAGGTGTATGAAATAGTTCTGTTGAAATTAAAGCAGTTTTATTTTTACCTTAGGAAGAGGAGCGTCAGCGCCTGAAGGAGGAGCTGGAGGAAGCCAAGGACAAGGCACGTAGACGGTCGCTTGGAAACATCAAGTTCATCGGAGAGCTGTTCAAGCTGAAAATGCTGACAGAACCCATCATGCATGACTGCATTGTCAAGCTCTTGAAGAACCATGATGAGGAGAGCTTAGAGTGCCTCTGCCGGCTGTTCTCCACTATCGGAAAAGATCTAGACTTTGAGAAAGCTAAGGTACAGCACAATTTGTATTTATGCGGAATGCTGTGATTGACCAGTCAAATACTCATCATATTATGAGCTTCACAGTTATGCTAGGTCTACATTCCTTTTGCGTGTAGTATATTTTTTTGTTGTATAGAATTTTATAGTCGTTTACTTTGTTACTGTCAGATTTAATGTTACTCTATTGTATGCAGCCTCGAATGGATCAGTACTTCCACCAAATGGAGAAGATAATTAAAGATAGGAAGATGTCTTCTAGAATCCGCTTCATGCTTCAGGATGTTTTAGACCTCCGAAAGGTAACCACATGCTTTGTTTAGTAAGTTTTCTTAGTAACAGTGGCATTTGCACAAGTATTTGGTATTTAAAACACATATGGTGTGTTTCAGTTCTTCTCACTATTTATATCTTCATTCTTTTAACTGTTATATGGGCTCTGTCACACAGAACAACTGGGTGCCCAGAAGAGGAGATCAGGGTCCCAAAACCATTGATCAGATCCATAAAGAGGCAGAACTGGAAGAACATAGAGAGCATATCAAAGTACAGCAACAGCTGCTGTCTAAGAAAGACTCCAGTCAGGGTCGAGGGGGCCGTGGTGGGCCTCACTCCTCTGGGGGCCGTGGTAGCCAGACCCAAGATGAGGGCTGGAACATAGTGCCTATTACCACTAAGAACAGACCGATTGACACCAGCCGCCTCAGTAAAATTACTAAGGTGAGGCGTTGTGACGTTTTTTTCTGTTTTAAGAATGTGACTTAGAATTTAGTTGTTAAAAAAATTACATGTTTTCATAGCATAAGGATTTCAGTTGTTTGATGTGCTTAGCCATATTTCTCCGGTCTTTTTTCTTCAGCCTGGTGATTTCAACAACCAGCTGCTGGCCCCGGGAGGAAAGGGCTCATGGGGTAGCTGGGGCAAAGGGAGCAGTGGAGGCACAGGAGCCAAGTCCACTGGAGATCAAGGTGAGCAATCGCCCAGTCTTATTTACCTTGGACCTCACAAAGCATAGAGAAGCCCAGCTCTTTAATAATGTCATAGATAGACTGTTAGTTTTAATTGCTGCTCTTTACCAAGGCGGTGGACATGAGCGATACCTCAAATCGTGACTTTAGGAAACGTGGTATTACTTTTCATTGAAATTAGACTTATGTTTTGTGGTGGATGATAAAACTGGCAGAAAAATAAAAATATAGACCGGTGTTTGTGATAAATGAAGACACAAGACTGGGCCCCTGGTTGAGAAGAACTGCTATACATTGACAGAGGGTCACGAGTCTTATCTATTAACCAGAGTGTCTTAGAGACTTGGTGGTCTCTTTTTGTCTTGAGCCAGTTCTTCTCAACCACAGAGAACATTGTAGCAACAGCTCTTAGCAATCTTAACAACAGCATAGAAACCATCCTTAACATTGTAGCTCGTGTTTTGCAGGCATCACTCATTTTCTTCAGAAAATGTAAAGATATGGTTGTTCAGTGTTTTTTTGGTAAATGCAAGTCTAATGCTGTGCTTCTATCTAATGTAGACCAGGGGAGACCGGCCACTAGCACGCTCAACCGCTTCTCTGCATTGCAGCAGTCTGGACCCCCTTCATCATCATCCTCCTCCTCACTTGACTCTGATCGTAGAGTGCCTCAAAGGTAATTTTGTAGTGCTGTTTTTGTTTTGTAGGGTAAATGAGTACTAACATCAACGCTGCAAGAAATCTAATTACACATCTGCTGTGCAGGAACAGCTCCAGTAGAGACCGTAGCGATAGAGATCGCGGTGACCGAGACCGGGATCGCTTTGACCGATTCGATAGTAGGCGGGAAGACAGGGACCGAGGCCTCGACAGACCCCGTCAGGCCATCACCAAACGCAGCTTCAGCCGTGAAAATGAGGAGCGCAGAGGTGGCGACAGCCGTGGGCCACTGGATTCTGTACGCCGTGTGGCCAGCATGACGGAGAACCGTGATCGAGGCAGTCGAGAGCGTGATAGAAGCAAGGAGACAGGTAAGAGTCAATAGTCTTAAAGAACTGTGCAGTACAGATCTTTGAGTTGATGATTCATAAATTGATCAACCCTTTACCTGGTTGGGTTTCTCAGTGAAGCCAATGTCGGCTCCTGCTCCACCACCACCTGTTCAAGCCAAACCCGCCCTGAGCAAGGAAGAGCTGGACAAGAAATCCAAATCAATCATTGAAGAGTATCTCCACATCAACGACATGAAGGTATGTACATCCATTTATATTATTGCCCCAGAAAACATTTTGAAAATAACCTGAAATTCACCCTGGCATCTTCCACTTACATTATTCTTGTTACTCTTTTGTAGGAGGCGTTGCAGTGTGTGCAGGAGCTGAACAGCGCCTCTCTGCTCTTTGTGTTTGTACGGAACGGTGTAGAGTCCACACTAGAGCGCAGCACCATCGCTAGAGAGCATGTGGGCCTGCTGTTTCAGATGCTTGTTAGTGCTAGAATATTACCTCCTGAGCAGTACTACAAGGGGTGAGTTCAAAGACTGCTGCAGTTTATTATTCCGTGCAATAATATGGCAGAGATGCACATAATGACATCTGAACATTGTAGCCACGTTTTTCACTCATGACCTATTCATGCTTCATGTTTTTAGTGTTGGTCAGGAAAGAAAACTCTCAAAATGCCTGTTTTTTATGTAAATGATTTTAAATTGATGATTTTTTTCAAACCTTGGTGTTATTGTATCTATCTGTTTTTATGTTTTGGTCTTTATGATTTCATCAAAATGTAACTGCTTGCTCTAATGTTGCTGCCAATATACTTACTGTCCCTACCAAAAAAAGGAGAGAAATTTTTCTCTTCCCAGATGTTTGTTTTAATTTGCTTAAATATGTAAGTAGCTAGATGATAGAAAATTTAATGAATCAGGACTATTTTATGTGCTTTTGTCACAGTACCTGTTCTTGTCTTAGGACAACTTTGAACTTTTTTTTGATCCACTTCAAATGTTGACTACTATATTTATCTTGAAGTTTTAGTTTTAATAAAATAAGTTTAAGTACTAAAATGATTTCAATTAGCTTGAGGTTTCATGATTTCTACACAATAGAAATGGTTTCTTTGCGGCTGTGCACTTATTTTATTGTTTGATTTCACCCACTCTAGACTGCAGGAGATTCTGGATATAGCAGATGACATGAGCATTGACATTCCTCATATTTGGCTCTACTTGGCTGAGATCATCACACCCATGTTGCAAGAGGGAGGCATCCCCATGGGCCAGCTCTTCAGGTTAGGCACTGAACCTTGGTTTTCAGATACCTGTATGCAAAGATTATAAACCATCAACTAAAACCATCTAAACCTTTTTAAATCATCCACAGGGAAGTGTCCAAACCTCTTCTCCCTATGGGCAAAGCAGCAAACTTGCTTGTTGAAATATTTAACCTTCTCTGCAAAGGACTGGTAAGTATCATGCTGTGGCAAATGCTTATGAAATATTTGCATATATTGCAGTTTCAGAGTGTTTTTTTTTGTTTTTTTTACTTTGTTCTCAGAGCCACAAAAAAGCTGGAGTTATGTGGTTGGAGGCAGGACTCAGCTGGAAAGACTTTCTGCCTGAAGATGAGGATGTCAATAAGTTTGTTACAGAGCAGGTACTGAAAGCTGTTTTGTACTGTATTGACAGGGTCAACATAATTTCTGAAATGTTTTTGTAAAAAAAAATGACTGCACAAATATTATTGTGCTCATGTTTTTACTGGCAGCATCCAAAAATAATACTTTATTTTAAGTTTAGTAATCATCATAACTCCTTCCTCATGATATTATTCTTATGATGATCCTTTGCCTTCAAGAAATTTTCTCTGACAGTGCCACAAAAGAACGAACCATTTTTTTTTGTATTTGCGTGAAATGTTTCATGAAGTTCTTTTCCTCTGCAATAAAATGTTTGTATATTTTACATGCATTTGTACTTGGGCACACACACACACATGCATATACTGTGCAAATGTCTTTGTGAGCCTAAAGGTCATTAAAGATCTTATATTTGCAGAAAATGGAGTTCACTCTGGGTGAGGAGTCTGAGAAACCCAGTAAGAAGGAGCTGACTGCTGAGGAGCTGAGTAAACATTTGGACAGGTTGTTACAGGAAAAAGCCAACAACCAGAGGATCTATGGCTGGGTAGAGGTGAGTGTGTGTGCTTTGGCGGTGATTCAAGGCTCTTTAATCAAACATTAAGGTATTGCAGCGATCTGCATTATGGGTATAACATTATGCACATGGGACGTGTACCGACTGGCGTTTCTCTCCTTTAAAGGCCAACCTAGATGAGCAGAAGATGAGCTCCAATCAGTTTGTGCGGGCCCTGATGATGTCTGTGTGTCAGTCTGCCATTATATGTGAGTGAATCTATTAGATGTAATCCACTTCCCTCACTTAAGAGCTCTCAATTTTGACTTCAGACCTGAACTTGCACTGACTGGTACTTGATGTTAATTGTGTGCGTTAATGAACTGTTTTAGGTGAGAACCCCTACAAGGTGGATGTGGAGCAGATTACCCAAAGGGCCAAGCTGCTGCAGAAGTACCTCTCTGATGAAACGAAGGAGCTGCAGGCACTCTATGCTCTCCAGGCTCTCATGGTGCAGATGGAGCAACCTGCCAGTGAGTGTTTTTTTTTTTTTTAACACTTCCTCCGGATGTGGAGCAGATTACCCAAAGGGCCAAGCTGCTGCAGAAGTACCTCTCTGATGAAACGAAGGAGCTGCAGGCACTCTATGCTCTCCAGGCTCTCATGGTGCAGATGGAGCAACCTGCCATGAGTGTTTTTTTTTTTTTTTAACACTTCCTCCTTTTCAGTAACATGCACAGATGAAATTGCATTCTTAATGCCCAAAAGGACTCGTGTTTTTTTTGTTGCTTTGTTTGTTTTTCCAGTAATTTTTCAGCATTAATGATAGTATTTAAAGTTTTATTGTTAATCTTTATGCAGTTTTTTTTTTGTTTGTTCAAAACTTTGGGGTCAGTGAGATTTTTAGCACTAAAAGGTTTATGCTTACCAAGACCAAAGACCAAAACCATTTATTTGATCAAATTCTGTAAAAACAGTAATATTGTGAAATAATATAATTTAAAAACTTTTAATTAACATTTTGATTATATGTAATTTAATTTTGTGATATAAAAGCTGAATTTTCAGCAGCCTTTACTCCAGATAATTCCGAAATCATTCTAATATGCTGATTTGCTCCTCACGAGACATTTCCTATCAATGTTTAAAAAAAACAGATGGTAATATTTCTGTGGAAATGGATACACCATCTCCCCCCCACCCCCCAGAATTCTTTGAGAAGAGAGTTAAAAGAACAGCATTTATTTGAAATAGTGTTTCATAATATTTCAATATTTTGTAAACTTTTTAAATATTTTATATTAGGAAAGTCTTTACTGCCACTTTTGATAAATGTAATACTTCATTGCTGAATACAAGTTACTGTTTTCCAACAAAAAAATACACTGATGGAAGTGTAGCTGAATAAGTGTTGTCTCTGTTTTACCCAGATTTACTGCGCATGTTTTTCGACGCGTTGTACGATGAGGACGTGATTAAAGAGGAAGCCTTCTACAAATGGGAGTCCAGCAAAGACCCGGCGGAGCAGCTGGGGAAGGGTGTGGCCCTGAAGTCTGTCACTGCCTTCTTCACCTGGTTACGGGAGGCCGAGTCCGAATCGGACAACAGCTAATCCTGAACTTTGCTAGCCCAGGTAGCACTGGAAAGAATCCGCTGCCAGGGACTAATGAGAGGAGGATGTCTGACAACCAAGTTGAACTTGATCCTCGTAAAGCCAATCTTATCTGTTCGGGGTGGCTCTTGACAGATATAAACTACAATCATTTCTCAGTCATTTATTTTGCTCTCTATATCTATTGTGGTTAATGTCCACCAAAAAACAATAAAAAAAAACAAAAACAAATCTGCAGGACTGCTTAAAACGTGTTACCAATTCATCGTCATTTATTTTTAACGAGAAATTCTTGGGGAAAAAAGTACAAACCAACGCTGCTCTTACATGTTAATATAGATTTATATGCAATGTGGTATATGACGGAACAGACATGCATATATATTGTGTAGAGGGCGTGATGGCGATCATGTCTTTTAGGTTTGTAATGTCGGATCAAACACGGAGCTCTTACCGGTGTTTTCTTTCGTGTGCGTGCGAGAGTCGTTGTTTTTAAATCCACAGAGACTGATACACGAGCGTAGTATTTGATGAATTCTCTAAGTGACGAATGAAATTTGAGTAGCATTTGTATTTCGCTCTTTATTTGCTTCCTGTATCCTTTAGAAAAGGGTGAACCTGTTGAACTTCAGGATGATGGTCTTGGATGGACTTTGACCTTTTTTGACCTTAGTGCTGCTGGATGAGGAGGGGGTCCAACATGCTTCCTACTAAGCCATCCTTGTCCTGCTTCCTAGCCCACACTTTTGCGTCTTACCTCTCTTGAAGAACTGATGGGGGACTTTGTGGAAGCCCCACTTGAGCAAGCCTGCGGTGGAATTTTAAGAGAAATCATTAAAACTTGAAGCATATAGAAAAATCAACTTGATGAAATGACAGTAATGATCCTAAAGCCTTTTCTACTTGCAAAGTGGAAACACATTTCAGGAGCATTCTGTACATGCATATGGAAATTTTTTTTTGTTTGTTTTATTTTCAGAAATTAAAAGTTAAAAAATTGATGTAATGCCATTTATTTTTTCCAACAGAAATGGCAGTTTCCCTGTATTTAAGATTTGTTTTCTTCCAGATGGTAAGAGGTGCTTACAATGATCCATTGATTTAGTTTTATTGAAAAAAAGTGTAAATATTTTTTTTTTGCGCTCTTTATTATTTAAGGAATGAAATGCTTTCACATCAAACTGGAAAACGTTGGAGATGAAACATTGCAAATAATAAAAGATTATCAAGTTGCTAAGTAGAGTGTTTGAGGGATGTGGGGTCAGTTGTTTTTTTTATTTATTTTTTTATTTTTGCACATGCACATTGTGATATTTTCATCATGGAAAAGGTACAGTGAGTTTTCCCTGTGGAGAAATTCAATGTTGGTGCTTTAATGCTGTAATGAGTCTTTCTGCCAGGAGAGGGCCTGCTGAACAGATTGTGATAGGGCTTTGCTCAAATGCTTAATTTCAGCAGGTTTTTTTGTTTTTTGTTTGTTTTTGGTGCAGATGGCAGGGGATTCAGCTTTCAAAGTTTAGTTTTAGTATGAAATTTTAAAGATGAGCAGTTTCTGGGCTGGAAACATGGGGAAAAAACAGGTTATTTCAGAAAGTTAGCATGTGTAGAGATGCTGCAATGTAATGATGTTTATGCTGACTTGTATTCTGCTATACACTAGGTGTGTGCTACTAATATTTATGGGTCATTCCATAAAATGAGTGCCTTTTAAAAAGGTGCTTTTAAATTAAATAAGAATTTAAGAATTGTATCAGACAGTGAAAGTTGATTGTGTTGGGAACTTGGGACTGAATTTTAATATTTCAAGATAGATATGATTAAGGCAGGGCTTACGGTTCATTATGAGCCTTTTGCTCAAGGTCATGACACTAAGGTTTTTATTAGAGAATTTAATGTTGATATTTCACATGTAGAAAGTTCATGGCAATAAGTTGACTAAGTAATCCCCCGCTGACAACTTGTTTATATGGCAAAGTACAAATTCTTATTGCTGGATGTGGCCTTTTTTTCTCCCTAATCAAAATGTGCATATTTGCTAATAGAGTAAGCAAAAGATGATGAAAAAGGTTATTGGGTTTTTGTTGAAATGTGATGTTCGCTTTTTTTAAGTCTTTGTCTAGAGAAGGAACTATATATGAATATATATTCATCTTCAAGAAATATTTCATGTGCTTAAGGACAAATTGTCAGTAGAGGCAACCTAGTCACGGAAGGTAGACAGATCCTCTAACAAGTTATTTTAAACCAGAGTCCACCCTTGAGACAGGACTAGCTTATTACACTTTTTCCATGTATCACATGCACAGCTGCAGTTATGGTTTCTGACTGCTGCTGAATTAAAGATTATTTCTTTTCCTCTGAATGTGCTGGATAAAAGAGCAACAGTGTCGTAGCTTCTTGACCTTGAAATGTAGAGGTTTTAATGTCCTTATAGCACAGGGTAAATTGATGCATCATTGGCTGTCTGAAACAACAAAACCTATGATCCATATAGGCACGAAAATACGCTAGATTTAAATTCAACCATTTATTCAGACTATAGCTTACAGGTTTAGGAAGCCTTATACGCTTATTGTTAAGCAGCAGTGTCCATGGCATGAATAACATGTTTTCCATGTATTATTGCAGGTGCTACTGACTGCATTGGAAGTGAGCAAATGACACGGTTCTTAACCCAGGGAATGAAAATATATTGAGGAAACAGCCGCACGCTATGAAGTATGGCAAGCCGGTTAAACATTTATTCTTTAAAGTGTCATGAAACCCCAGTTTCAGTACTGGTCGTTCACACCTTAGATCTGAAAAAGACTCCAGAAATGGTTGTGTAAAAATGTGGAAAAGTGGGAGTGCAGAGGGTGGGAAGAGGGGAGAAATCAACCTATAAAACACAGACCTACAACACTTATTATACAGACAAATGAATATTAAAATATCTTTAAAACAAAGAATAAAGGTAGTCACTTTGATTTGATTTTTATTGATTACTAATCTTTGAATTTTCGCTCTATATATATCATTTGCGGTGTATCACAATCTATCGTGTCATCACGTTCATGATCAGATGTACTGCTGTATCAGCACCCTTATTCGCGCATATTTCATTTGAAGACATGATATGTGCACGTATACGGTGCTGGTTCATGTTTGGAGCACGAGAGAAAATAAAATATGAATGAAACACGTTTGCTTCGGTCCGGATATGAACTATGATCCGCACAGCGAGTGTTAAACTCATCGTGGCGTTCAGCGCAGAAACTGCTCTCATGCGCGCTCCATGTGTTACATATTAAATATTGTTACGGTTATGTTTACAGAGATGAACTGACAGTGCGGAAGCTCGTTCATCAGATTTGAATTCTCCACTGTAAGATTACCTTATGCATAATACAGCTCAGTGATTGGATCATAAGTGTTCTTTCTCATGAATAAATGCAGAAAAGCGCTCAGAAACGAGTGACGTAGAAACTGCCCTTGCAGCCTATCTATAACACACTCCGAGGGCCAGCTCTACGTCAGACATAACCTCGACTTTGGTTTTCATTTTTCTGAGCAATTTCGTTCTTCCGGGTTGAAAAGCAATTTCCACTTATTGATAACATTTATGAGTGCTATTAGTGTTTTCACTGAAATGCAGTCTGTACATATCTGTTCACATCTAAAAAAAAATGTGTTCTGGGGTTTCGTGGCCCTTTAAAAATAGTTTTTCTGTTGGTAGTTTTTTTTTTTTTATTACTACAAGTAGTTAAATCAATAGTGACTAGTGTTTTCTTAAGTCTAACTATTAAATTTTGTCTATGAAGTTAGATACTTATTTGCAGTGGTGTAATGTAACGAAGTAATAATAATTTGTTACAGTACTTAAGTATATTTTGGGAGTATCTGTACTTTACTTGAGTTTTTATATTTCAGCCAACTTTTACTCCACTACATTTCTTAATTCAAATGTATACTTTTACTCCGATACATTTCCCCGAAGCATATTAGTTACTTACTACAAAATAGTCAGAAGAACACGGACTGCAGGAAAGCAGGTTTGATGAATCAGTGGTCTGTCGCCTGCAAGTTAAGACTCCTAAAAACACCTTTGCTCATGTGCAAACAAGCGCGCGCACAACCGCGGATGATTTTCCACAAGTCGAGTCTGGGGTGTGCGATACAGCATCGTCTGCGATAATATGGTAAGTGTTGTAATGATGTGCGATCTGACATTTTCAAGTGTATCGCCAAATCACACACAGAGTGCATGCACGTTGATTTATTAGTCTATTAAAACTCAAAGTTCCAGGCATTCTAAATTGTAGACGGCAAAAATGCTTCTGTATGCTTTTTATATCTATATAATTTAATATTCATGGGTTTCAGTCACGTGACTTTTTTGTTGCGGCCGCCATCTTTAGGACCTTGCGTAGCCTCTCCTTGGCAATCGGAAACCAAAATAACACTTCACCAACAACGGAAAACAATGGTATTAAAAAAAAAAATAGATACTTTAGGATTAGATCCGTATTTACTGTCAAGCGAACTTATGACTCCACTAAAGTCTAGTGAAAACTTACCAACTTGACGTTTGCTGGTAGGCTGTTTACATCTACCTCATACACAATCCCTCTCCGTACACTCGCTCAGCACGACGCCAGACTTAGCACATTTCTATATCTACTGTACTGTTCATTAATATTTCATTTTAAATTAATAACGTTACCTAGACAAAACGTTTACTTTCATTTTAATTATATAGAGTATAATACATAAATAACATGACTTAACAAATCTATAATCATCTAATTATTATGAAAGCAATTTTAAAGTCCATTAAATACTAGCTTGACCAAGCTGGCATGAGGAAAATTTATTTACAAAACCATGCAATTACAGCAAAAAACAGCAGTTATCGTAAACATTCTAGACTCACATAACTGTACTTAGATCAAAGATCAAAAACATCTCGTTGATTTATTAGCTTAAGGTGGAGCATAACGAAAGTTTTCTAGCAAATCAGTGTCGCACGCAAATTTAACCTTTTGCAAGTTTCATTATGAACTTGCTAACTAAAATGCTAAAATGTAAACACGCATCTATGCTTACCAGAAATATTTAATCAAAAGAATCCCATACATTCATGTCTCGTGGTAAATAATCCATTGTGATTTGCTGTTATCACAGCCCAGAGCACAGCACAGCAGCTTGACGGAATTGCAATTCGCTCCTACAAATGGCGGCCGCACCACTGTGTGACATCACATGAAACCCATGAATAGTTAACTTAATCTATATCACACAAAGAGTACTGTTTTTCTGCAGATATCAGCATGAACGGTGTTTACTTATTGAATGAATCAGCTTTTTGAACGAATCGGTTGAATAAATGATTCAGTGATTCACTCATTAACACAGTCGAATGCTTTGTTTTTGAATGAATCAGTTGTTTGAATTAATCAGTTGAATCTCAATGATTCACTAACAGTCACTTGCTGTCATCTACTGGCGGTTTTAATTTCACATTTCTACTATTTTTTTCATGTTTTAAATTATTTCAAATATCAGTATTCAACGTTTTATGTAAATAAAACATTATGCATCTGTAACTGCAGGTTAAATGCATCGATGTCCCCACTGAGATACTGTACATTAAACTGTATAAATACATCTAAATGCTATTTCAGATGCAGATTCCAGAAATGTTTTCTTATGTTGGAACATATATATATATATACACACACACACACACACATATATATATATTTATATATATATATACACACAAACACACACACACACACACACACACACACAATAACAGCATCTTAAATCCTGTCTGAATAAATGTGCGACGGCAACAGCAACTTTTATATCGGGGTGGACAGCGGAGCATTTGAGTCAACAAATGTTTAGAACACAAAACTGAAGGGAGCAGCTCCAGTGGAGAAGAACAACATTGACTGAATGTCACATCTCCACCACTGTAAGTTAAATGTGTTTGTGCAGTGCAGAGCAGCTCTCTCACATTGTGAGATGGGGCTAAGGTGACAGATAGGGGGGCTGAAACCCACCTAAAAAGTGTTTAGAACCGCCCCTGGTATAGCGTGCGTAATTATACCGAAACATAAATATATAACCAGTTTACCTGATTCAATAATGGCTGAGCCTGTTTCTGAGATAACAACATGCCAGTCCGTGGTTGGATTTCCGACACGGCTAATCGTAAATCATCTTACACTGTCAATAAGCACCA